TGGATATCTTGAAACATTCCAACATCTGAATCATAGCGGTCCTAGACGGAGAAGAGTCAAAACAACAAATTGAAAACTTATTTGAACAAATAATGAAGGAGAACTTCCCCAATCTGGCAAAGGAAATAAACTTCCAGGAAGTCCAGGAAGCTCAAAGAGAGTCCCAAAGAGGTTGGACCCAAGGAGGAACACACCAAGGCACACCATAATTACATTAGCCAAGGTAAAAATGAAGGAGAGAATCCTAGAAGCAGCAAGACATAAGGGGACAGTTACCTATGAAGGAGTTCCCATAAGACTGTCAGCTGATTTTTCAAAAGAGACCTTACAGGCAAGAAGGGGCTGGAAAAAAGTATTCCAAGTCATGAAAGGCAAGGACCTACATCCCAGATTGCTCTATCCAGCAAAACTTTCATTTAGAATGGAAGGGCAGAAAAAGTGCTTCTTAGATAAGGTCAAGTTCAAGGAGCTCATCATCACCAAGCCCTTATATGAAATGTTAAAGGGATTTATCTAAGAAAAAGAAGATAAAAAATATGAACAGGAAAATGACAGCAAACTCACAATCATTAACAACCACACCTAAAACAAAAACAAATAAAGCAAACAGCTAGAACAGAAACAGAACCACAGAAATAGAGATCACATGGAGGATTATGAACAGGGGAGTGGGAGGAGCAGAGAGGGGGAAAAGGTACAGAGAATAAGTAGCATAGATGGTAGGTAGAAAATAGAAAGGGGGAAGGTATGAATAGTATAGGAAAGGTAGAAGCTAAACAACTTATATGTATGACCCATGGACATAAACTAAAGAGGGAGAATATGCAGGTGCGAGGGGGGTGAAGGGGGAAAAATGGGACAAATGTATGTAATAGCATAATCAATAAAATATATTAAAAAATAAAACGAAAATAAAATCACAGTGAGGTATCACTTCACACAAGTTAAGAATGGCTATCAATAAATCCATAAACAAGTGTTGGTGAGGATGTGCAGAAAAGTGAACCCTCACGCACTGTTGGTGAGAATGCAGACTGGTGCAGTCACTATGCAAACAGTATGGAGGATCCTCAAAAAATTAAAAATGAAATTGTATTATGGACCAATGATTCCACTTCTGTGGGTGAGTATTTGTGTGTGTGTGTGTGTGTGTGTGTGTGTGTGTGTGTGTGTGTGTGTATCTGAAGAATCCCAAAACACTAATTTGAAAGAATATATGCACCCCTAGGTTCACTGCAGGGTTATTTAAATAGCCAAAATATGGAAGCAACCCAAGTGCCCATCAATGGATGGGTAGATAACATAGTGGTGGTACATATATGCAATGGTACATCATTCTTTTTTTATTCAGCCATAAAAAAGAATGTTATCTTACCATTTATTTACAAAAGCATGGATGAACCTCTAGAGGGTGTTAAGTGAGATAAGCCAGTCAGAAAGACAAATACCATATGATTTCACTTATATGCAGAATCTAAAGAAAATAAAAGAACAAAAAGGCTCAAACTCAGAGAACAGACTAATGGTTACCAATGAGAGGGATGTTGCAGGACTGGATAAAGGGATTAAGAAATACAAATTGGCTCTGGCTGGTGTGGCTCAGTGAATTAAGCACTGGCCTGTGAACCAAAAGGTCACTGGCTCGATTCCCAGTCAGTTGCACATGCCTGGTTTGCAGGCTAGGTCCCTAGTATGGGGCACATGAGAGGCAACCACACACTGATGTTTCTCTTCCTCTCTTTGTCTCCCTTCTCCTCTCTCTAAAAATAAATAAAATCTTTAAAAAGAGAAATACAAATAGGTAGTTACAGAATAGTCAGGGGAATGTAAAGTACAGCATTGGAAATACAGTCAATAATATTGCAATAACTACATATGGTGCCAGGTAGATACTGCAAATATTGGGGGATACTTTGTAAAGTATATGATTGTCTAACCACTAGGCACACACCTGAAACTAATACAAAATAATACTGAGGAATTCTGGTCAAGATAGAGGAATATATAGACATGCTTCACCTCCTTGCAAAACCACAAGAAGGATCACAACTAACCTCAAAACAAACACACACAAAAAACCCCAGAACAGCCAGAAAATCAAACTGTATGGAAGTTTGACAACTGAGGAATTAAAGAAGCCATATTCATACAGATAGGTAGGAAGAGTAGAGAGGGCGAGGATGGGCAGTAGCCAGGGGAATGGATGGTCCCACATTCATGAGTGGTAGATAAAAATCAGGAGGGATACCTTGGGAGCAAATGATCCCAGCCCCAGGCCAGACCCTGAAGTCCAGGATTCTAGTGCTGGTGATATAAGCCTTATAACTTCTGGCTGTAAAAACTATAGGGATCGGGGCACTGGAGAAACTCCAGGCTCTCAGGAGAGCCAATTTAAGTGGCCCCCAAAATCCTAGAACCTACTCAATCTCATCCATTCCAGGAACCATCACCAGGGCAACAGGTAGGCGGGCACTAGTAGAATATGAGGAGTGGGTGAAGTGACTGGAAATGGGGTGAGTGCTGAGCAAGCCTGCAGAAGCCAGGCAGTGGAACTGTCCCTTCTCTGACCCCACTCCCACACACAGAACTGCACAGTGGTAATTTAACAGGTGTGCTGAGACAAGGAGTTAAAGCAGCTCTACCTAGTACACAGAAACAAACACAGGGAGGATTAGAAATTGAGAAGACAAGGAAATATGGCCCAAATGAAAGAACCAAACAAAACCCCAGGAAAAGAACTAAATGAAATAGATAGCCAACCTAGCAGGAACAGAGTTCAAAACATTGGTGATAAAGATGCTCAGAGAACTCATTAAGTACGGCTAAAGCATAAGGGAAAAAATGAAGGCTACACTAAGTGAAATAAAGAAAAATCCATAGGGAACCAACAGTGAAGGGAAGGAAACCAAGACTCAAATCAACAATTTGGAACGTAAAGAAGAAATAAACATTCAATCAGAACAGAATGAAGAAAAAAGAATTCAAAAAAATGAGGAGAGAGTAAGATGACTCTGACACATCTCTAAAAGTGCCATCATCCGAATAATAGGGATGCCAGAACAAGATGAGGAAAAAAGCAAGACACTGAAAACTTATTTGAAAGAAATAATGAAAGAAAACTTCCCTAATTTGGCAAAGGAAATAGACATACAAGACCAGAAAGTACAGAGTCCCAAAGAAGTTGGACCCAAAGAGGACCACACCAAGACACACCATAATTAAAATGCCAAAGGCTAAAGATAAAGCAGAGACTTCCCTACAAAAGAGTTCCCATAAGATTATCAGCTGATTTCTCAAAAGAAATCTTTCAGGAAAGAAGGGGCTGGAAAGAAGTATTTGAAGTCATGAAAGGCAAAGACCTACAACCAAGATTAGTCTATCCAGTAAAACTATCATTTAGAATAGAATGGCAGATAAAGTGTTTCCCAGACAAGGTAAAGCTAAAGGACTTCATCATCACCAAGCCCTTATTATATGAAATGTTAAAGGGACTTATCTAAGAAAAAGATCAAAACTATGAACATTGAAATGACAACAAACTCACAACTATCAACGACTGAACCTAAAAAAATAAAAACAAACTAAGCAAACAACTAGAAGAGGAACAGAATCACAGAAGTGGAGATCACATGGAGGGTTATCAGTGGCGTGGGGGTGGGGAAATGTAGGAAAATATACAGGAAATAAATAGCATAAGTGATAAGGTACAAAATAAACTGGGGGAGGTTTAAAATAGTATAGGAAATGGAGAAGCCAAAGAACTTACATACAACCTGATGGACATGAAGTAAGGGGTGGGGTGTGGATGCTGGAGGGAATGGGGGCACTGGGCAGAGCAGGATTAAGGGGAGAGAAAGGAATGGGACATCTGTAATAGAATAATCAATAAAATATACTTAAAAAACTTTTAAACTCCTAAAACTCATCACTTAATTCAATAAAAGTCTACCTTAATTCCTATTCTCCCAAAGTAAAAATACAGATTAAGAATAAAAAGCAGCCTTATCTCTTAGGAATACATATAAAGTATTTATAGATAAATCAGAGGGGGTGTAAGGTTGGCAAGTTCACCTATAAAACCATCTGGGTCTGCAGACTTTTGAGAATGAGGGAGTTAGGTTTTTAATTAGCATTCCAATGTTGATATTATTCATGTATACAAATTTTTCATTTATTTTGTCAATTTTACATTTTCTATTTTCCAGATAGAAATCCAGTTTAGGTTGTTCAATGGTACTAGTGTATATTCATGTTTACAATTAAATACCTTATATATAAATAAGCTACTGGAGATTACAACCAAACTATAAATTTATGAGATCAAATTTGACCCACACACCAATATCTTAGGGCAAAATTAGTTTGAAAAAAGTATATATGTCCACCCATAATTTCTCTTGAAAACAATCCACATATCCTTGACAATCATCAGAAGCTATCAACCTATATATAAAATGGATTACCAAACTTTTTCTTGCTTTCTACTTGTGAAGGGACCCTATCCAATTTCAATTCAGTTGAAAAGAAATGCTCCCAGGATGAGCCATCAAGAGTAGTTCATAAGGTTCTATTAAGGAATCAAAGTTGCTAAAGGTTTTTCCCTACTAAAAGACTTTATGATACAGGTATCATTACTATCCTCAATCTTCAGGTAAGGTAGCTGAGACTTAGAACAGGTTACTTGTCCAAGGTCTGGTTTCATACCCAGGGCATACCTCTCTCTATTATTCTGCTTCCCACATACTAAATTGATAAATAAAAATATGATAAATCAAAATATGGAAAATTAGCTATGTTTCCTAGAAGTCATATCCCAGATCACCTAAGGAAAATATCATTTTCTCAACTTAATTTTTTTTTAATGAAGGCTGCGATTCAGTATTTAATCAGTTTCAAATGTGCTTTTGCATATTTTATCGTACAAAGCTACCTATGAAATAATACATCACCAGCAAAACAACAAATCCCTTCTCTGGATTTTGTGGTATCTGTGCTCCTACCTGACACTGGTTAATGGCAGAATGGTTGCCATGAAATGGAGACTGTCTTTCTTTATCTCGGTGATGCCGACTGCTGTGTTTACTTCTCTGCAGTTGCTGGCGTAATTTTGCAATCTAAAAAGGAAAAAAATAACCAGTGTAATCCATACTATATAAAACATCCTAGCTTAATAAAAACCAGTAAAATTCAGCCTTAAAAATGTTTTGAATTTTTTAAAAAACATATCACAAAATCTGACTTAGTGCACACGATTTTCAAATATACACATACAGGGGTGCATATGAGTATATATTTTAAAGAGAAACAAAATTATTTTCCAATATTGTTCTGAGCCTTCCCGCTTCCCAAGTACTAACCAACTTTTCAGCATTTAGAATAAATTATATTACAGCACTGGCTGGTGTGGCTCAGTGGACTGAGCACTGGCCTGCAAACCAGAGGGTCACTACCTGGATTCCTAGTCAGGGCACATGCCTGGGTTGCTGGCCAGGTCCCCAGGAGGCATGAGAGGGAATCACACAATGATGTTTCTCTTTCTCCCTCCCTTCCCCTCTATCTAAAAATAAAACTTAAAAAAAAAATAAATTGTATCAGTTTTCACAAAATATTAAAAAGTAGTAATTATGCTCTCATTGCCCCTATGAATCACATTTTATTTAGATTTAGGTTTATCAAATACTTGACTTCAACAGCTCCAAAATATAAACAGTATTTAAAGATCAATTCAAACGAAATACATTCACCGATATAATCTTTAAATAATATAATTTTAATCAATATTGGATATTATTCCTGGACCAAATTTTAGTTTTATTTCTATATTATATGTAAAATGTTATAATGTTATGCAAATGTTATAATTATATGCATAGAAAATGGTAATCATAGCACAGTAACATAATCAACTTGGTCATACTGGGTTATTCAATTGCAAGAACATTACCACTATATATGGAAAAGGTAAGTGTGAATTTGTTACAGCACTACAAGTTTGTATATCTGATATTTGCATTATATTAAGAGGCACAGACTCTCAATAAAAAGCCAGAAAACACACTCTCAGAAAAGTAATGTGTATATTTCTCCATTCAAATCTTTACCCAATTATCATAACTGTTTTTCTGTTATTTCTCAAGTAAACAAACTAAAAACAAGAACAAAAAACCCACCCCCACACACACAATGGAAACTAATAAATTCCTGCTGCCCACAACTTTAAAGAACTAGATACCCAAGTCAGAGGTCAAAATTCCACACCCACTTTCTTGGAATCATTTTCCTGACCTCCTTAAGTTGATCTGTACTGCCCCAGGATGCTGAACGTTTGTGAGACCCTTTCTTCTTTTCAGAGTATTCTTCAGCCCATGCACTCTCTGTCTATAATGGAAAAAAGAGGGAAGGAGAATTTCAGTAAAATAGTTAAGGATGGACCTTGAGAGCATTATGCCAAATGAAAGAAGTCAGACAGAGAAAAGACAAATACTGTATACAGAAATCTAAAAAACTAACAAACAGAGAAAGAGAGATCAGATTTGTGGTTACCAGAGTCAGGGGGTAGATTTGCGGAGAAATTGGATGAAGGTGGTCAAAAGGCACAAACTTACAGTCATAAGTTAAGTATTGGAGATGTAATATACAACATGATAGTTATAATTACTGCTGCTGTATGGTATATTTGAAAGTTGCTAAGAGTAGATCCTAAATGTTCTCAACACAAAGAACAAAAATTATTTTAGAACTATATGAGTGATGAACGATATTAACTAAATTATCAATATTAATGATATTATTGTGGTAATCATTTCACAGTATATGTATATCAAGTCATGCTGTACACCTGAAAATTATACAGTACTGTATGTCAACTACACCTCAAGAAACCTGAGAAAATGCCCTTTCTAAAAATAAAAAACATACCATACTTTTCTATTATGAAATGTATTCCCATTGCAGAAGAGTTAGATATTAGAAGATATTTAAAGTAACACAAATTACCCATAATTCTTCTATCTCCAGTTACTTAATTAAAATACTTAGCCTAATTCTTGATTTTTACCACTATTTTTATATAAGTATAGCATTTATTGAACAAATGAAAACTAACAATAGCTAACAGTCTTATGATCTTATTGTGTGATAGGCACCAAGTTTAATGAAAGGGCAGTAAATGGTCTTTATTGTATTATCTGATTTAATACATAAAGTTTTCTCTAAGTTTTACAGATAAAGAAGCTGTGACAATGAGGTTAGGTAACTTGCCCTATAGTCTCACAGGAAGTGGCATAAGCCAAGACATAAACCTAAGACTGCAGAGTTCTGGCCTGGATTTAAAATATTTGCAGAGGATAGTCTCAAAAATGTTAAATCCTTAGTGGTTATACAAAATCCAAAATTTAAAAACAGTATATCAGAAAAAAAAAATGAATGAGTTCTTGACACATGAAAATATGCTCAACTTCACCCGTAATAAGAGATATGCAAGATAAAACTTCACTGATGATTTGGTAGTAATGCAATCTCCTGCATTGCTGGCTGGAGTATAAATTAGTACAACCTTTTTGGAAGAGGATTCAACAACTGTTGTCAGTTACAAATGTACCTACTGCATACAATAGAGTGATCCCTCTTTTGGCAATTTATCTTGCTGATACACAAACTGTGTATCTTTTCCACAAAATGATATATCATATTATTCCCGGTAGCATTGTTTTTACAAGTAAAAGATCAGAAGAATGTAAATAGAGGAATGGCTAAATATATTTGGTATACCTTTACAACAGAATCCTATGCAGCTATAAAAAATGAATATGGAGGCTTTGGACAAACTGGAAGAGTAGGTAAACATGGTATTCACTACTTACATCCTCCCACAGGAAAATTACAACTGAACTACAGAACCATCATCATTGAGAACAACCTGAAGTCTACCTAAACACAAGACCTATAACTAAGGATATACAGAAGAAGCCGCATGGAGACTGGTAGGAGGGGAAGAACAGTTGAATGGGCTAGTGCCACACCCATGTGTGGAGGTTAAAAATTGGGAGGGATGTCTCAGCTGTGGAAGTACCCCACCCTGGGGAGTGAGAAGTCATAGCCCACCACCAGGCTCCCAAGCCCAGTGTTCCAGTGTGAGCAAAATAAATCCCTGTAACTCCTGGCTGTGAAAACCACTAGAGATTATGGCTGAGTGAGATGGAGGGCTTCAGGAGTAACAGACATTCTTCTTAAAGGGCCCACACACACACTTACCTGACTCACTCACTTTGAGCTCCAGCACTGGAGCAACACTGACGTAAGGGAGAATTGAATTGTATGGATTTAGGGGCAGCTTTCTCCTAGAGAGACATGCTGGCATAGGCCATTGTTCCTTTGCTGAGACACTCCCCCACCCCACATTCCCCACAGAGCCAGTGGGTACTGTATCAGAGTCTCCATCAACCTAGCTAAAACCAGTGTACTCTGCCCTGGTGTTCCTTGAGACTTTGCCCCACCAAACCTGTGGGTCCCCCAAACTGATTCCAGTGTTGTTTCCATATGAACACCCTGAAGTGATTCATGCTAGGGACTTTCCTAAAATCTCTCTGCCATCTTGCGGTTTAGGGTTTTCTGGGTTTCTGTGCTGGTAATTGACCTTTGCAGCAGTACCAAGCTGAGGTGGTTGCTGGCACTGGGTCTCATCTCCTCGATTTTCCTTATCTTCTTCATTTCCATACCTCTAGGATGTTGGTAGTAAGGGTACTTGTGGAATAGTGGTCTATTGCCCAGATAATTATTCTCTATCACTGGTCTTTCTTGTTGTTCTGCACCCTGGCTGGCAGCACCCTTCATCATTTCTCCCTGCACAGGAGGGCTGGAATACTGTGGTCCATGCCCAGAGAGTGTCCTCATGTGGCAAGGTGGGAACCATTGCCTGTGGTAGGGTCGGAGCTCTTGGGCCTTGCCTTTGGGAGCACTCTGATCCCTCATTCTTTCCCTACTCTCATTAGTCTGGTAATTCTGCTGGTAATTCAATGGAGGACCCAAAAGTTGATGAAAAACAATTCAGAAAATAAAAACTCTTATAAAACCCAAGCGGGATAATTTTAAAGGAAACTACACCAATGTATATCGAACTCTAAGTACTGGAAACAGAAGATAAAATCCAAAAAGCATCCATAAACAAAAAAACATAGTAACACACAGAGACCCCACCACCCATTCCCCATAGAGCCAGTGGACTCTGTGTAGTAAGAATATTTGCCTTCCCATTAGAAGTATAAGGTAGGGGATAATGGAAAGACATCTTCTAAGTGGTAAGAAAAAACCCTCAAACTGTCCATTTAGAATTTATAGTATGCTGGGTATGTCCAGAAACAGTAGCCTTCAATAATAAATGTAAAAAATCGTGGCTGGCGTAGCTCAGTGGATTGAGTGTGGGCTGCGAACCAAAGCATTGCAGGTTTGATTCCCAGTCAGGGCACATGCCTGGGTTGTAGGCCACGGCCCTCAGCAACCGCACATTGCTGTTTCTCTCTCTCTCTTTCTCCCTCCCTTCCCTCTCTAAAAATAAATAAATAAAATATTTAAAATAATAATAATAATAATAAATGTAAAATAAAGATATATTGTAGTACATGCAAACCAAGAGGATTTATTTCTGTTAAACTTATTAGGAATGGCTACATGAAGTCATTTCAGATAAAGAGAAATGATACAAGCCGTAAACTGATACAAAATAGGGGCTGAAGAGATCTGGAAATAGCAGATAAGAGGAATATTTCATAATGATAATATGATTAGTTCATAAAAAAGGCATAAAAATCCTGTCAATGCACCTAGGAAGAGAACTTCAAAATTCATAATGGAAAGATTGAAGAATCAAAGGGAGAAATAAATCACATTCATGATTGGAGATTTTAACACACCTTTATTCAGCAATTGATAGAATAAGTAAATAAAAATCAATAAGGATACAGAAGGTTTCAACAACACTGTAAACATGAACTAATATGTACTCATTGAACATTACACCTTATAAATCCTGAGTCTGTTTTTTATTTTCCAGCACACATGAAACTTTCATCACCACATACCATACGCTAGGCCACAGAGATGTCTCAATATCACAGGATTCAAATCACTCAGAGTATACGCTCTGATCACAATGGAATTGGATTGGTCATCAATAATAAAAAAGCATCTAGAAAATACCAAATATTGAAAAATAGTACAATTCTAAACAAACTCATGTGACAATGAAGGATTCAAGAGAAAGGTTAGAAAATATTTTGAACCAAATAATAATGAAAACTGCATTTAAACTATGGCACACATTTCAAAATGGTGCAATGAGAGAAAACTCAGAGTTCAAAATGTTTATATCAAATAACAAAAAGAATATTTAAAATCTGTGATCTAAGCTTCTACCTTAACGGGCAAGACCAAAAAGCACAAAGTGAACCCAACATAAATACAATACTAAAGATAAAGAAGAAATCAATGAAATAGAAAATGGAGATCAATAAAAGCAAAAGTTTGTTTTTGGAAAATATTAATAAAATTGATAAATACCTAGCAAGAATGATCACAAAAAAGGGGAAAAAAATAACAGTATGAAGAAGGGAAGAGAGTTACCATAGATCCTACGATTAAAAAAATAAGATGGACCCAGGAGGACTTGAGGCCACAATGGAGGCGTAGGTAGATATACTGTGCCTGCTTGGGCAACCAAAAAAAGGACAACAACAAATTTAAAAATCAAAAACAACCAGAACTGCCAGAAAATCGAACTGTATGAAAGTCCAACAACCAAGCAGTTACAGAGAAATGTTCATCCAGATGTACAGGAGGGGTGGAGATGGGCATCTCAGGCAGAGAGAACTCATGGGCAAGCTGCGGTTGTCGGAGCAGGAAGTCCTGCATTTATGTACAAAAAAACTGGGTGGAAGAACTAGGGAGTGAGATAGACCACACAATTCAGGGCTCCAGCATAGGAGAATAAAGCCTCAAAACCTCTGACTAAAAAAACCTGTGGACATTTCAGAAACTCCTACCCCCACAAAAGAGTTTGATGGAGAGACCCATAGCTTCCTAGGAGGCACATAACCTTACGAACTCGGGAATCAGAACCAGAAGGGCCCAATTTACTTGTGGGTAGTAGGGGAAGTGACTGAAAGCTGGCCAAGAGCCCAGCAAACAGCATTGTTCCTTCTCCAACCCCTTCCCCACATGTAGCACCACAATGCAGCCACATGCGTTGCCCCGTACTGGTGAATACTTAAGGCTCTGCCCTTTACTACATAAGAGGAACATTGAGACAAAAAATTGGCTCAAATGAAAGAACAGATAAAGGTTCTAGAAAAAAATATAACTAAGCAATGAAGAGATACCCAACC